AATCACGCAGAATGACACATTAGAGAGACACATTTTATGGACCGTGACATTTATACGCGGTTTATGTTTTTTTTCCTGAAAAAATAATATCCCGTTTATTAAACAAATCATTCAAAAAATTCGGGAAAATTCCACTTTGGTATTCTAACATAAAGAGAGACCGAGTTTTATCGCAGCCGCGAAAATTTGTTCGATCGCCAACGCGTCCGCAGTCAATACGTGATTTTATCCTAATCACTCGCGCGGTCATTCTAATCGGTGCTCGATTATGATATTAAAAGCTCGGATTACGATATTCCGCGAATATAAACGCGGACAGGTGTCGGAATACAAATCGCGATGAATCGCGCCGTTTGTGCGCGGATATAAACGCGACGCAGATGATGATTACATGCAGCGATGATTCGACGAGAGACTCGCTCTGATGAGTACACATAGCGCGGCACGAGCGTCGGTCATAATCCGTCTTGGTTTCGCTCGGCACGTGTCCGTCGTTTGTCCCGCATAAACATGCAGGGCGATGCGCGAGGGAGGCCATTAATCCTCGGCGTCGCGGAAACGAGATCGCGGCAGTTATCGAGGTCGAGTATCGACGTTACGGGCGAGTAAGGTCACGCGGATCATTTCAATGAGACTCGCGCGTGGTGCCAGGTGCCAGATCCGACGCGAGTTCCCTTCCACTTCCTCGTCTCCTCGAAAGAAAAAGAGAGAGAGAGAGAGAGATCTCTCGAGTGGTAACCGCCGGATAAAAATAGCCCGAGCGGAGTCGCGGTGGTGACGACCGCTGGTTTAATAGAACCTTCCGGCGGCTCTTTGGTGCAACAGCTGCGGGTGGTTAGATTATTATCGAACGGGATCGAATCAGCCGAGCGCAAAATGAAGTCGAGCGAATCCCGCGAGCGGAAACATCGCCGCGCGCTTTCTCGGTGAATAGAACAAACTCCAAGAGAGAGAGGGAGAGATATTTACGTAGTTTGAAATTACATTAAAGTCGGCGCGCAATTAAAGAGCCAATTTGTATGCTCTTTGAACGACAGTACGGGTAATCGTAAAACGTGTGCGGAAGAAATATCTATTTTCTACGAGTTTCGCGGAAAGATAGGAAAGTGGAAACTCGTCCCATTACACGTTTCTATGTTCGAAGGAAATATCTTCGCCGTAAAAACGCACTGTTACGATTATGATTATGTCACGAATATATGTATCGCCGTCTGGCGACTCGAATGATTTATTAGCTATCGTTTCTCGGCAAATGTCAATCCAATTATTTCGTTCAAGAATTCGCCCGACATTTCGATTCGCCGATAAAGATGATTGAATGATGTAACGATAGTGATTATCTTGTCTTTCCTTATACGTTGTTACCATAGTACAAAAATATGTAAGCGATCCCAGTCGAAATTTTTCTCCTATTCTCAATCTCAATTTTCAATCATTTTTGAAATTACTTTAAATTATAATTCTATCGAAAGCTCCTCTTTTAAATCTCTATCTGGGAACCTCTTCTATTTTATTGTCTATTTGAGATGCAGAATAAAGAACTTCAATTTCTATATAAATTAAGTTTATCGAAAACCTCTAAAATCACCATAAAAGTGAGAAAAATTAGGTTGAAAATAGGAGCAAAATTTCGATTGGAAAAAGAAGGAAATACAATCGAATATCTCTGTGGTACAAGCTCGATCGGATCGTTTACTACTGAAGTTCCACTGCCAGTTAGTTAGAGCTTAATAATTAATAAACGATCGTGAAAAAGGCAATATTTTCCTCTCTTAATCATCAACTCAACCGGAGATTTCAGTCAAACGAGCAGACAGATCGCGCGCGACATCTGCAGAAAAATGTACGTCTTATCACCTGGGTTATCGCCTCGCAATACTGGTGAATCCTAATCGCGGTCGCGTATCTCAACGAGCGTGCAAGTTCTCTTATCGAGAGAAGATCTATCGTGTATTTCCGGGGCGATGATCGTCGCGACTGGGATCTAACGAGCGGACGTGATGATGTCGTGCATCTGTCTTGCGGACAGACCGATGGCAAAAGAGACGTGTCGTGTAGTATTCGACGGGGAAACGAATATGAAAAAATATTGCAATTGCATTTCTCGGTAAAGCGTTTTCATTTAGAACCCATTATATATAAATCAAATCCATGCGCGCAGATAAGAAATATATTTAAAATTAATTTCGTATTGTAGAAATGAGAGTATACTATAATTGTTCCTCTTGTTTCTTTCTTCTTTTCTTTTTATTTATTTGTACTGTAATTTTCTTTCCGAAAACAAGATTGTGAAAAGTCATGAATTATTCATTTATTTATACATTAATAAATCGCGCATGTATACAAAAAATGTAAATTAAATGGAATTTAAAATTATAGAATAATAAAAAAAAAAATCATTATATATTAAATATAATTTAAAAAAGAAATTAATTTAAATACATAATTCTCAATTTCTTACTTTTCTGTTTCTTTACTTTTCCTTCTTCTTATCTATATCTATATAAATTATGTCTTTTATATAAATTGTGGAATTTATCAATATACAAGCTAATTTCAATTCATACATATATAAAACATAATTTTTCGTGCAAACAAATCCAACCATTACTGCGTTGCATTAAATATCACTCACTATTTGAAATCGAAATGGTTCAAAAAAATTTATGAACGGTATTTTTTCAATTCGCTCAATCTTATACATCGACAGTTATGGGACAACAGTTTTTCTCGTTGCGTGACACGAAACAAGATAAAGGAACTATCTCTCTTTCCTTCTCTCGTAAATTTCTGTACTTTACCCAAAATCCTTCATCTATGTACAGATGTATGTACATGTGTATATATGTATCGCATCGCTTTCTGCATTACCACGCGGCCGCTAACTCAATTGGTATGCGACTGATGCGAGCCCAACGCAGATGCACGACCGCCGTTGAGGTCAGCGCATTGTCTAGCCGAGGCTTCGATACGCTCCGTTGTGAAAAGATACATCGGAGACAATTAATCTCGCTTCATCCGGGGAAAACGAAACTTCACCGAAATTATAATGCGACGAATATATACACACAAAATTGCGAGACTCCCCGAAATTTTGCTTTTATTTTCCATCTCAATTATCTCACATTTATGGATCTTAAATTTCGATAGGTTTAATTTATATAGAAATTGAGCTTCAATATTTTGTATTGTAACGGAGTTTCTTTAAAATTTATTAGAATGGATAAATTCAAAATTGCGAAAAACCTGCAAAGTTACTAAAAAGTACGAATTATACTTGCTCACAGAAAGTCTTAAAGAATCTTACCGGTTTTATGGAAAAACTATTGCATTTTTCTGTAAGATCGCATTCGAAGATGCTGGAAACTAGCAGCTTCTTTTTGTTGGAATCGGGGAAAACATATTCCGACAGAAGCGGAAATGGAAATGAAGCGACGAGAAAAAACATGCGCGGAGGAAGGCGGAGAAGGATGAAACCGCGCTCTTCTCTCTCCTCTTAATTCGATATTTATCTTCTCCCTCCCGGAGAGAATTTGCAAAAATCGAGAGCCGGTTGCCGCACCGGGGTCTTCAATTATCCTTTATAGGCGGTACGAAGTGAGTACTGACGAGGTGCCCGGACGGGCCCGAAGAAAGTGCAAGGCAAGAACCGGCTCGAGAGGTGCGCGGTTAGACCCCCTACCGGTTTTACTTGGTCCCCCTTAGTGTGTGTAAGTAGCTTATTCAAGCCCGCCGTTCCCCCTTTCTCCTCACCTTCTCCTGAACATCCTCTATGTTCTTCCATCCCACGTTGAGTAGTCACGAGAGGGAACCCACTCCTTAATTGCGGCGGGGCAACCGAGAAAAAGTGTTCGATGGCTTCTGGGTTCTATATTTTATTACCGCGGCGAGTCTCGCGGCTCGGAATATAAAATTAAACGTCACGTCGCGATCTGAGCTGAAATCGATCGGGAATACTTCGCGATGGATCGCTCGGCTTTCAATGGAATCTCCATCCGATCTCGTGTAACGCGCACATCACATGGATATCAATTATTATCAAAGATTCGAGATTGGTCACTGGATCAATCGTTACGTTTAAGAATTAACAAACTTATAATGTAACTTGAAAATAAATAAATAAATTCGCTATTATAAAATATACCAGAAATATTTGTTCAAAACATCTTGTCTCTCTTCGTTGCGGAAAACGTCTGTATCTCTTTATGGGCGATATTTATTTTCCGTTCGAAAATTTATAAATGGAAGGTAAGATGCTTAACAAAACTTCGTGACTACTGAAGAAATGTACGTGATGATTGTGAATGAGAAACGTACATAATATTGTGGCGTGTATTTATTGTGACGATCAAAGCGTTGATAGAAAAATATTGTTTATCCAGAAATAATTTTGTATGAAATTTAAAATCGCACGAGTGTCATTCAGTTAACACTAGTAAATCTGTCTGCAGATTTGAATAAAGACAACGATAAGAAAAGGCGGTGAAGAGAGACAGAATGATCTTACGACGAGCGGTTGGGCAGCAAACGAAGAGAGGAGAAGGACAACGCGACGAAACGAAGGAAGAAACGGTGCTCGATAGGAAAGAAGGAGAAGAGAGGATTGAAGGAAACGGAGAGAGAGAGAGATATTGCCCAGAGAGCGAGGGAGAGGACGAGGATGATGAAGGACGGGGAATCGTCTCGGAGGCCGTACCGCGGGACCCCCGGCATTCCCGATCATTATTCCACGGTTTCGCCGAGGAGAGGAGGCTGCCTTGTCCTTGGCACGAAGGAAAGGTTAACCTCGTTGCGTACGTTTGCGAGGTACTAACACACGCGTACTTTTATCACGCTCGATATAAATCCGAGACTATTTATCGTTACAGAAAAAATAAAATTTCTCAGAAAGAAAGAGAGAGAAAAAGCTTATTTTTTAATTTATAAATAGAAGTAATTTCCTTCAAATTAATAAAGATAGAAATTACGTCGTATTTCTATGAGAATTTAGCGATTTTTACCTTGTGCGTAAAATTGTCATCTTTCTGCTGGTCCCTTTTCAAAGAACTCCTCACGTGCTCGAAGTCGCTCGTTGTTCGAAACGTTGTACTATAGTTGTTATCGAGCACCTCGGCAGGTGGCTTATAATCGCGGTATCCGGTAGGCGAGGGTGTCTTATTGAGGGGTCGTTCCCCGGTTGCGGGTGTAAGGCCGCCGGAATGGGCACTCGCGACGGTGGATGAGCGTTCGTCGTCCATCTCGAACACGTCGTCGCTCATGCTATCCTCGGCTGTCATAAGCTGCGAAACATAGTTAAACGACGGTCTTTAAATATCTCCGATGGTTCTCTCTATCTCCAGCATACTTTTTCAAAAATTGCTTAAAGTATTGTTTACATGTTATTCTTGATTCGGCGTAAAAAAATTTGTTTACTAATAGACAATATATATAATTATTAAATAAAAATTCCTCTCTTTCTCTCTTATACATTCTATATACATAAATTATCCTATATACAGTTTGATTATAATTCGAGACGTTTTATCTTTAAAAACTGAATCATTAAAAATCGTCACTCAACGATTAAAATAAATTGACGTAGACAACTAATGTGTTAGCTTTACAAATTCAATTATGCGGAAGTCGATCAAGAAGCTGAGCTCTGCGACCTGCGAGAGATCCAGTTTGCCACCTTGAGATTATCTCATTGTAATCTCAAGGCCGTCCTTTAGTCGTCTTCGAAAGTGTTGTGTCGGACGCAAACAAGTTCTCGCGATAATTTCCCGATCGCGCGATAATTTCTCTCGCGAATATTATCGGAGCTACTGGAGATCAGAACCAGTCCAACCAAAATCTCGGCTGCCATCGCCGAGGCGAATGCTAAAGTAACTGTCCTTCGATCGGCCGATGTCTCTATCTCCGTAAAACGAACGTTGTAACATGGAGATACTTAAAGTCAATTAATAAGCCCCGGCGAAATCAAGATATAGCGTTTAGATCCCGACATGGTCGTACGTGATCGTAAAATAAGGTACAACTGAGTATTGCTGGGCCCTTTTATGGAGTCGCGAGTGCCATGTAAACGATTAACTCGCTTAACACGTCGCGATATTCATTCCGATCTCTCACCTGCAAAGGCGAGTCTTACGGTCACTAGCCTCTAGATATTTCTCGTACCATCGTTTTGATCTGTGGTTCGTTTCATTTCGAAACACAATCATTTCTATTTCGATATATATATCCATTGATAGAATATTATATAATCAAACTGCATATTTTAATAAAGTATCTGCTGCGATATATCGCATTAATAAATTAATCGCAGTAATACATTTTAGTAATAAATTATTCTTGATATTTAGGATAATTAATTATATACTAGTAGAATATAATTTAATTAATATTATATAATA